ACTTAGCAGGAAGCATTTTTATATCCTTGTACACAGCGTTTGTTTACTACCTTGGCTTATTAGAAATTGGGCCCAATGTATGAAGAGTGTGCTATATAAAAATTTCTAGTAGGTTGCTATGAGCAGTCTTCCAACTGTTAACACTGTAGTCTAGATCAGAACATGAAAGAAGGTTCTGATTGGCTATGTGCAACAAAACATTTGCTGTTGGCTTACTTTCCATACACCAATACATTTTTCATGATAAACTCAGAAAAATTAATTACATTTTAAAGAAGAATTCATAATGGGTGCAGTGTGTGCACCTTTTGAGACTATATATCAGGCATGCAGCCTTATAATTCCCTTTCTGCCCTGTAATATGTAAACGTGTATTCAGAAATGTATTTTAGTTTTTAAAGTAGCCCTGAAAAAGTTATTAGCATGTTTGTAAGAGAAGAATAGTTGTCCAAAGTCTTGGCAATCATGTATGCAAAATAAGTAACATAGATGTAATTTTCCTAACCCTTGTGCATTCTGACAGTACAGTGGCTGTATAGCTGTTCATAAATAATTGTGCTACGATTTACCTGCTTTAACCAAATACTACCTTTTAGTTTTAAATCGCATCAGGACAGGTTAGAACATCTGTCAACTTTTGCTTTCTGTGACCTGGTAAAGTGACTGACTAAAATCAAAAACTAGAATATGTCCATGCAAGAAAGAGAAAATATTTGCCCATACTTCCAAATGTTGCTCAGTTGATGACTGACACTTCTGGGAGTGTTAAACTCCTTGTCCCCTGCTACAGTAAGGCTCCATGTACACTGCAGCTGATAAACTCACGTTTTAGGAGCTTTTCTGCATTTTTTTTTTTTTTTTTTTTCTTTTCAGCAACCCCTGAACTCTCCCTAAAGTTTTCCTATATGTCCATGTACACATAGTCGTTTACAGGCAGTTGAGTTTACAGTCGTTTTTTGAATGCACCAAACTTGCGTCCAGGAGTAGATTTTATCAGCGTTTCAAACGCTTGTAAATGTGGCTAACTGCGATTATAAGTGTTTGCGTTTGGAAAATTTTGTTAACTCTTCCATTTCCAGATGCTGTCCAGAGCCTTTTTTCAACATGAAAAATGCATGCAAAGCGTTTTCCTGGTACTCAAATGATCCTGGTACACCATACTTTGAGGTTTCGCATGAAAGAAAATGTTAGATGCTGCTGCAATAATTTCTGCACACAAATGAGCTGGAACACATCCAAACACCACAAAAAAAAGACAGCTAATCTCAACAAATACTGTTCTCTCTGCTTCTGCTGTCTATTTCTCTCACAATGTTTGAAATAGCAAATTTTTTACTGTTTTTCGGTGCATTCTGGGCATTTTGGAAGGTCTCCTGAGGTTATCTTTAAAAAACGCTTCTAAACGCAAACGCTCGTAAATGCAGTATGCAAACGCGGCTAAACAGACGTGTTTTTTAACCTACGTTTTCCAGCAGTCAGTTTCCATCATTCAGAAGTGTCCCGTGTACATGGAGCCTAAGCGGATTTTCACACTTGCCTCTGCATCACTGTTGCACTCAGTTGTGGCATAGTTGTTCCCAGAAGGAACCACTGAGCACAGTTGGCTCCAATAGTTTGACTCTGGAAGTGTCAGGTTTTTGAAGTAACTTCAAAGGAGGCTTCCTGTTCAACAGAGTGGTGTTTGGAAGCGTGAGTTTTGAGACAGGCAATTTTGTCTTTTGCATAACATATTTTGGAACAGTATGATTTTAGGAACAGAGTCACTTTAAAAAGATTTTTTTTCTGTGATGTTAAGTGCTGCCTTTGTCCCTAATAGAGGAGGTTTCTTAAAAAAAAAAAATAATAATAAAACTGGGCCTGTCCTGTATTTTAAAGTGTATTAAGCACAAAAGCAAACCATTATATAGCAGTGTAGCAATTTGTAGATGTAATGGCTGCATTACATTTCTTTTTTTTAGGTTTTCTTCTATTTTCATCTCGTGATCAGCTAGCCAGTCTCTTGTTTTTCAAAAGCACAAGCTCTGCAGCAGAATGTATCAGTTACAGGGATGAGACAAACCACTTAACACTGACAGGGTTGCTTACAATGATCAGCTATTATTTATTCAAGTAAAGTCATTATCCCAAAGGAAAAAAACTATTTGCTGTAACTGATTATAAAGTGTGAGCTGGAGTTTGCCTTCAGTTTGGTACTGTATGTAAACTAAAAAAGAAAATAAATGCAGCCACGACATTTAATGATTGATAAGCTGCAATATATTACAGTTTTGGTTTTGGGTTTAATGCCTCATAAATTCTTGTGCAGACTTAACTTTGTTAGAGAAATCTGGAGACATATCAGGGAGTGATAGGGAATCTCTGCAAAGTGCAGGAAAATTCCTTCCTACAATTGCTATCAGAACAGTTGTCCTCATTAAAGGATTTTGCCTCATATCCTGGTCCTGTGACAGCTCTAAGGTTTTGATTTCCCCAGTTTCAGTTGTCACAAGGACAAATGGGAGAGGGTGAATTTACTAAGGAGTTGGTGAACATCTTCATTCTGCTCACACTCAGCCTTTAGCCATTAGCTTACGGAACAAAAACTCCCACTGTAAGTCCAATGTCAACTTCTTTATGGTATGCAGCAACTTAGGATTCAGATAATTTCAGTAGCAGAATGTGCTGATTCCATGACCTTTAAAGAAATACATCGGTAAATTTTAATGTTTTTATAGATTTACCTGTACTTGTACTTTAATGTTATTAAAGTAATTAATCTGCAATGGACCTGTTTCATTATTCTTCCATCACCCTCTGTTGCAAATATCTTCATGTGTTTAAAAAATTTAAAATGATAGTTTTTGGTCGGTAATATGTGTATAAGAACACTATTTCTAATCTTTGAGTATAACTTTTACTTTAACACAATGAACACCATGTAACCGCTGTTTTGCATTACACAGAGCATTCGTGCCAAGCTAAAAATGGTGATGCAGGTTGCTGCTTAGTGTGTGTTACAGCTATTATTGGCCACCTATCGTAAATCACTTTAGATATGCCCAGCAAAGCCATGGTTTAAATTACACATAGCTTTCTGTTTCAGTATTCTTTACTGGGCAAGTTTATTTTTGTTGATAGCTTCTTATTGAATTTTGTGTGAAACCTTATCCACTTGCCCACCAGAGGATTTACCCCCCCCCCCCCCCTTCTGACCAGGCCATTTTTTGCGATATGGTGCTGCGTTACTTTAACTGACAATTGCGCAGTCATGCAACGCTGCACCCAAATGAAATGTATGTCCTTTTTTTCCCACAAATAGAGCTTTCTTTTGGTGGTATTTGATCACCTCTGCGTTTTTTTGTTTTTGCGCTATAAACAAAACGACAATTTTGAAAACTATATTTTGGACATTCTGCTATATAACATATCAATAAAAATATAAAATTTTGTAATAAATTTAGGCCAAAATGTATTCTGCTACATGTCTTTGCTAATAAAAAAAATCCCAATACAAATGGCTTTATACATACTGGAATTTTTTTTTTTTATACTAGTAATGGTGGCAATCAGCGACTTATATCGGGACTGCAGCGGGCATTTTGACACTTAGGTGATACTGACTAACTGCCACTGACATCCCAATGACACTAATACAGTGATCAGTGCTAGTATAAAGCACTGACACTGTACTAATGACACTGGGTAGGAAGGCGCTAACACCTTTGGGCGATCAAAGAGTTAACTGTGTGCTGTGTTTTACTAGGAAAACATGCTGCTGTGTATTTCTCTGCTGTGCAAAGAAGTACACAGCAGCATGTTACTGCTGGCAAGAGAGAGACCCGTGTTTACACACAGGTCTCTCCCGTCACTGCTTCTTGGCGATCTCTGGACGCCGGCGGGTAATCTCCGGCTGGGACCCCGTGATCGACATCTGTAGCTGCTGTTAGAGCGAATTTCCAAGACACTGCCAATGGTGGCATGGGTAGGGCAGCGCGCTTGCCCCTTGCCCAGAAATATAAATACACACACGATTTTACATGTGTGTGATTTTGCACAGCCCTGCCGCCCTGTAGCAGTAGTTCTATTATAGGGTGGCAGGGAAGCAGTTAAAGTGGTTGCAAAGCCTGAAGGTTTTTTACATTCTATTCATGAAAGTAAAAAAACCTTCTGTATGCAGCAGCCCCCCATATAGCTCATCTTAGCCCTCTCTCAATCCAGTCCTGTGCATGAGAGCCTCGGCTGTCCTGATTCTCCCTCTTCTCATTGGATGAGAAAGCAGCGGGATCCATTGGCTCCCACTGCTGTCAATCATAGCCCACAGTGAACCAATGAAGAAAGAGTGGGGAGCAGGGCCAAGCCACTGCTCTATATGTCTTATGGATGCATAGAGTGGAGCTCGGGAGTGCGCATGCACCAGTGGTCCTATAGCAAGCGGCTTGCTATTGGGGGCACTGGCCGAAGGGGAGGAGCCAGGAGTGCGGGGTGACCTGGGAAGAAGAGGAACGGGGCTGCTCTGTGCAAAACCATTGCACAGAGCAGGCAAGTGTACCATGTTAGTTATTTTTTTTTTAAATTGGCAAACCTTTAATATCACTTTTAAAGGTCAGTTGAAGTCTTATACCTTTTAAGCTCTTTTTAGTCCTGTACCCCTACATTATGATTTTGTGACATGTCCTTAATTTACCCTTTTCTGTTGAGTACTGTAGTTTTTGTTTCATGTAGCATGTGTTGTATATTGACCACCTAACTCTGCTTAGAGCTGCTAAATCCCCTGCAGTAAAAATCAGCTTTCATATTTCTTATATGCATTAAAATAATTAGTACATGCAACTTTTTTGGTTGGTTGTCTTAGTTGGAATCCTAAAAAATATATTTATAAACTTTTCTAAAATGCATATGGCCTAATCTTAAAATTGTAAAACTTGTGTGAATTAAACAGAGACCTCTGCTATAAGATGTAAATTGGTCATTTTGGTAAATGTCATTGTGAAAGTCAATTAACAAATCTTATGTTTTTGTAGACTAACCTGCAGTTTAATAACAATAAGTACTACCTGATCCAGCTGCTTGAAGATGATAGTGTAAAAAATTTCTCTGTCTGGATGCGCTGGGGACGAGGTGAGTCTTCACAAGGTTTAATATAGTTTTTAGTAGAACTGGCTACTAACCAAATACCCACCAATGTGTATTTTTTTGCCAGTGGGAAAGGTGGGTCAAAATTCTTTGGTTTCATGTGGAGGAGATCTACAAAAAGCAAAAAATGTTTTTCAGAAGAAGTAAGTTTTTTTTTTTTTTTTATTTTGATCCACTATTCTTTATGTAATATGTATGCTTTGCATGTTATTTTGGCAAATGAGCCCTTTCGGTTGTCCCAAAGAACTATTTTTATAATTTGTCAATTTCCTGTAGTCACAGAGATCCCTCAGACTGTGCATGCAACTGAAAACTCAGTGCAGCAAAAAACGTTTCCCACTCCCAGTGGAAAGTGTGACTGCCTGTGTCAGAATGTTTTAGGACTGTCTTCTTGTCACATGTCAGCAACTGTACACTTTCGGAATCCCATATCTGCTATCCATAGTCATAGACACTGACACTTGAACTGACAATGGAACTACGTCTTAAATTTCTCTATTGCATTGCTATGGATTGCTGCTAAAACTCATCTGATGTGATGAACAGCTTCCTCCATATGCTTTGTATAGTGGTAGTGTTATACCTTAAGCTGGCAATACACTAGTAGGCATTCGAACATTCATTTGAAAATTCTCAGCAGTGCATTCAATGACATGACAAATGTCATTCAAAAGTACTTTGCTTTTAACATTCAGTTTTGGAATAAATGGACTTTCTACACAAAAACCATATTCATGGATCGAAAGTTGAGAAAAACTTTCTATTTTGCTGCTAAGAATTTTCTCATCACTATGGTCAAAAATGTTCATTAAGTTGACTCCACCAATTCTAAAATCAAGTTTAACCACTTGCCCTCCAGAGGATTTACCCCCCTTCCTGACCAGGACATTTTTTGCATTACGGCGCTGTTACTTTAACTGACAATTGTGTGGTCATGCAGCGCTGCACCCAAATTAAATTTTTGTCTTTTTGTCGCGAATTGAGCTTTATTTTGGTGGCATTTGATCGCCTGTGCGTTTTTTTTTTTTTTTTTTTTGTTTTTTTTTTATAGCCAAAAAACAAAGACCGACAATTATGAGAAAAACAATATTTTTTACTTTCTGCTATTAAACATGTCCAGTAAACAAATTTAAAAAAAAATCAAATTTCATCATACATTTAGGCCACAATGTATTCTGCTACATGTCTTTGCTAAAAAAACAAAAAAAAAATCCCAATACTTGTAAATTAATTGGTTTACGTGAAGATTATAGCATTTACAAATGGCGGTGTATATATACTGGAATTTTTTCTTTATTTTTACTAGTAATGGTGGTGATTAGCGACTTATAGCATGACTGGCATTCTGACACTGGGGGGAACTGACTTGGTGTCACTGACATCCCCAGTGACACCAATACAATGATCAGTGCTAATAAAAAGCACTGACACTGTACTAATGGCACTGGGCAGGAAGGGGTTAACATCTGGGGCAATCAAAGGGTTAACTGTGTGCCGTTTTACAGTGTGTGCTGTGTGTGTGCTTCACCGTAAGCACACTGCTTTATATGGCTGTGTGGCGCCAGCAAGTAATCACCGGCCTGGACCCGGTGATTGACAGCTGAGGCTGTGAATGGTGGTGCGGGTAAGGTGTGCACGCGCCCCCTACCCAGAACTGCAAAATCTTTGCGCAGATGTGTTGCCATGTAGCACTACTTCTGCTATAGGGCGGACGGAAAGCTGTTAAGCTTTTAATCTGATACTACTCGGATTACTTTTACATAAAAGAGAATTGCTGGCTGTAAAATAACGATACTGGGATCATAGATGTAGCCTCAACCATGATCCTGGGATAACCACCCCATACGAGGAGATTATATATATATATATATATATATATATATATATATATATATATATATATATTATAGCAGTATTGAGTAAGCTATCAGTAAAATGAGAGGCCAATCATTTTGATGAGTGTGGTGACTAGTGGGAATATGGTTTGCACCATATGCACTGAGGTGGTGGATTGGAAAAGTGCACGATAATACAAGTGAATGATAATATTGCTGATTCAACTTCACGAAAACAGATGGATATGTGCACGTGTTTATAAACTTTGTTTGCATTGCACATGCACTTCACTATAATGTGCACAATTTTATTTTATGCACGTTTACTTTGATATTCTTATTTGGGTTGCACTACCAGAGAGTATGCTATTGGGATATTTCTCCTATATGTTTTAAAAAATAGTCCATGTTGAGTCAGAGTGAAGTTCCACTTTAAGTATGCTTAGGTGTGTCAGGAGTTTTTTTGTGCTAAAACACTCCTCCTCCTGAACACGTTGACAGTTTTTTTCCTGCCTTTTAAACGCTTATGTGTGCATGGACACGTAGGCTAACATTGAGGTGTTTTTAGAGGCAGAGAAAAAAAGCACCAGATCCCTATAAAAGCAGCATTTAAAATGCATGAAGCCTTAGAGTGAAGAATGGGTCCTGGACAAGTACAAACACTACTTTTACTTATTGTGATCATGAATCTGCAGTTATTTTAATTATGCATATTTTTTCTTAGGTTTTTAGATAAGACTAAGAATGTATGGTCTGAGCGTGGAAATTTTGAAAAGGTTCCTGGTAAATATGACATGTTACATATGGATTATAACACAACTACAGAGGTACATATTCATAAATATGTTATGAAGTTTTCTGTGTGATAAAACACAATTCCAAACTGCTTACAAATGACCCATAATGTTTGGATTGCCCACAGGAAGAGAAAAATCTTGTGGAAGTAGACAAGCCATCTGACATTCCCAAACCTGAGTCCATGTTGGAGAGTTCAATTCAGACCTTGATCCAACTGATCTGTAACATGCAAAACATGGAAGAGACTGTGCTGGAGATGAAGTATGACACAAAGAAGGCACCTCTGGGTAAGACAATTGCTTCTGACCAATGTACTCTGAATTCAAAAGTGCAACATTTACAGTCACTTTAATGTTATATTTAAAACGGATAACTTCTGTCTTCCCCAGGAAAGCTCACTGTGGAGCAGATTCGTGCGGGTTACAAATCACTGCAACGCATTGAGACCTGTATTAAACTACAAAAGTTTGGCAAACAGCTTCTTGAAGCCTGCAATGAATTTTACACCAGAATCCCCCATGATTTTGGGTACATATATATCCATTTACTTATTCAGAAATTGGTAGTTTTTCACTGACCAAAATTGTATTCATTTTTAGCTATAACTTGTGTTCTCTTCATATTTAGACTAAGGACACCCCCATTAATTAGGACGGTAGACGAGCTGGCTTTGAAAGTGCGCCTGTTAGAGGTAAGAGTTGCAACCTCCTTTATCACAGCCTATGTCAGTGGTGGTCAACTGGAAAATAATAGAGGGCATCAAGCCCCAACACATCCAGAGAGCCTGTTCTGCTTACAAATCTAAGCACTGAAAGTGTTATTTCTCTATAAGTAATCCAGTGTGATGAAATGTTAATTTACAGCCTCAGTAGCATGGCAGAAAGTGACTTGAGCCAAATGACATGACGCAGATCGTAGAAAGTTTAATCCAAACCTGTGAAGATCATACAGATGAACATTAGGTCAAAATTCATGGTGTGTATAGCTCCAGCAGGATGTAGTACATGTGGAGAATAGAGACTAAGCATAAAGTAGAAGGGTGGGACTAACTACATAGACCTTGCAGTAGGTCTATGAGGTAGGGACAAAATTATTTCAAGGCAAACACACAGACAATGCATGTGTAACTTGACTTGATAGGGCCGCACAATAGCAGCGCATTTTCACACCATTTCGGCCTTGCTGCTTTTTTTTTACAGTGTATCGGAATACACACTGATGAAGTTGTAGTATAATAATTGTCTCCACCCTTGTGTTGATGTCAGTGTCTGTAATAATATCCCCCATCATTAAAACCCATAAAAACTTGATGGAGAAAATTGAAGGAAAAATGAATTAGATCATTCAAATTTCATATAGTGTGTACACAACTTTTGACATTAAATTCAGACTTTTCAAACAAATTTCTGAAGGGACAAACTCCAAATTTTTTCTTGTACGTGAACAGAGCAAACGATTTTTGTTTAATGTGTACTATTTTTGTATTAGAAAAAATAGATATGAAAGACTGGGCATGATCAGAATCGGTAAACAATAATTTACACTACATCTTTTCTATGTCAAAAAAAAAAAAAGCCTTTGTCATTTGTACAATTAGTACCATCCTCGTGTACGACTTGCTGTAAAACATGGAGGAAACCTGGATGATCATTCGCACAATTTTCTTAGTGTGTACCCAGCTTGCCGTGGTAAAATGTCCTGCTGGGTTTCAAGATATTAAGGGTTTCGGTGTGAAATGTAAATTATCTAGTAAGGAGTAGAAATGGAAACAGAACTGCCTCTCGCCTAACCCAATACTAGTTGTAATTTGTATATATAGCCTCAGACAGTATTGCTCCGCAAACCACGCCGTCTGAATCATTTCACCCCGCTCATCAGGGCTTAGCCCTAGTGGTCTTATGACTACCTGTTTTACCATAACTAAGCCCCGATAAGTGGGGCAAAACACATCGGGGGGGGGGGGGGGGGGGGGGGGGTAGTTTTGCGGAGCAACACTGTTTAAGGCTGCCATATACACACATTACAATTAGGATCAGGTTAGGCGAGTGTCAGCTCTTTCTATTTCAATCCCTCATCATTGGTGTCAGTACTATAGCACTGATGCTCATGGTAGTGAAAGTGTTAACATCCCCTCTGTGTTGGTGGTCGTGACCCTGAAAGTGTTAACCCCCCTTCCATATTGCTGGTCATAGCAGTAAAAGTGTTAAAACCCCCCTCCCCCTTTCTGCACTGGTGGTCATGACAGTGAAAGTGTTAATAATCGAAAATCCTCCTGCGCTATGAAAATGGAACTACTAAACCTTTTCCTTTAGCTGCCAGCACTCAAAAACTGATACCAAATAACAGTGTCAATAAATAATAAATAAACAGTGCAGCGCTCTAAAAAACTACAACTCAATTGTAATAATAACGACAAAAATAACAATAATGATATAAATAAAAAATTAGTGCCAACCCTTATTGAAAATAAGAAATTAAGTGCCAAACCATGACCATAAAAATAGTGTGCACACGGTTAAGTATGATAAATAACACTCCAAACGTCATCCAATAGAAAAAACTTTAGCAGTGCTCACATAGTGCCACAAAAATAAATCAACACAATATATGCATCAAGAGCAATATCCTTTTAGTGAAATATAAGGCAAATCATGCAATGTGCAGCAGTGATATAGGATAAACATAAATCAACTATATATCACCAAAAATAAATCAACATAAGTATATATATTAAAAAACAATGTCCTTTTAGTGAAAGATAAGGTAAATCATGCGATGTGCAGCAGTGATATTGGATGAAAAACGTGACTATGCAAAACTCCTCTTTCGTTAATGGCTAGATTGCCTCCTCACCTCCTCCTACTGACCCCAAAGGGCCAACAGGCTTGCAGGATCACCCTGGATCCTTAGTTTGTAATGGCCTGCAGCTTCCTTCCTTCCCTGGATCTCCTTTACAGGGTTCCAAATGCCCCTATTCAGTCAGGGCGGTCCTGAGGAGTAATAGCTCACCAATCCAGTGAGCCAAAAAAACTCTCTAAGTGCAGTATTGAGTCAACTTCATTTATTACAAAAAGAGTAAAAAAGGTTTAACACTCACATTGCAGACAATCTTCCCTCCTCACTGATGTGTGGGTGTACTGCATGTGAATGGGACCTCTTGGGTATAGCAAGATGGCGTCTCCCGTCGGAAATGCGTCACCACGCACCGGAACTACGGACTCGCGTACCTACGCGTTACGTCACCGCCTACTCGTGACTTCATCTGGGTAACACCCTACGAGCGCAGTTCCTCCCTTTATACTGGGCCTAATGTGACAATTTAACTAGAGGCCCACCTCTCATACAATCCTCCGTACCCGCGCCATTTTCCCGCAGGGCAGGCTACCAAAAACAAAAGAAAAAGAGAATAGTGGGGGAAGGAGTGTTCAATGTGAGTGGTCTCACTCTGACTAAAGAAGAGTTATTGGTTCTTGATAAGGGCCTTAAATATGCCCCCCCTGCACCTGCAAACAAATTTAACATTTATATTGATACCCAGAAATTCATTAGAAAACTTAATATTAAAAAATATTTTTTAGGACTACCAGGGGCTAAGAATGTTTTAAGTGATGCCCCCAGTAGTAGATTTACCCACACAAATTTTAAGAATAAATCACTTTTTAATCCTCAAATTTCGAGTAATAGTCAAATAGACGCTTTTAAGAAAATGGTTACAAATGATCTAGAAAAATTGGTTATTCCCAAGACTAAAAAGAATATTGGTATAGAAATGGGCATTAAGAGATTACAAAAAAGGGATGATTTAGTCATTAGACCAGCTGACAAGGGAGGGGGGATCGTTATCTTGTCGAAAGAACAATATTTGGGTGAATTAGCTATTCAACTTAAGGATATCCATACTTATCAGATTTTTGAAGAAAGATCCTACGGTGCAATACAAAAAAGAATTGGAAATACTGGTTAAAAGAGGAATAGGGAATAACATTCTGAACAAGAAAGAAGCTAGGTACTTGGTACCAGATACATGCAGAGTACCGGTTATATATACGGTCCCCAAAATGCATAAGGATGAGAAAAATCCACCAGGGAGGCCTATAGTAAATGGCATAGAATCAGTCCTGGCGAGAATGGGACAGTACATTGATGAGTTCCTACAACCAATAGTGAAGCAAATGAGATCATATCTGAGAGACACTAAGCAACTTTTACAGATATTGGATGAGGCCAAGGGAGGGCAGGATTTTATTCTGGCCAGTGCGGACGTGTCCTCACTATACACCATAATAAGCCATGATGATGCAATGGAAGCAGTAGGCTGGGGACTTAGAACATTTAGTGATTTACCCTGGGCTCAGAGGAAATTTTTGTTGGAATGTTTGGAGTTTTGCCTGAGCCACAACTACTTCTGGCATAGTAATAACTATTATAAACAGATAAAAGGAGTAGCGATGGGGCGCAAGATTTGCGCCGAGCGTGGCAAATATTTTTATGGGATATTGGGAAAGTAGAGATTTATATCAAGATTACCCGGAGGAGTTGAAAGTGTACAAAAGGTATATTGATGATGTGATCATCATTTGGAAGGGAGAATTGACCACCTTGTTAACTTTTCTGAATAAACTCAATGTTAACGATAAAAATATAAAATTCACATGGGAGTACAGTAAAGAAGAAATTAATTTTCTGGATCTGAATATTAAGATTACTAATGGTGATATAGTCACCAAAACGTATTTTAAAAAAGTTGACCGCATTGGGTATATCCCTAGGGGGAGTTGCCATTACCCGCCGTGGATATTCAATATCCCGAAAGGGCAGTTCGTTAGAATGAGAAGGAACTGCACCTCAGAACGAGATTATTTTGAACAAGCGGATTTATTAGGTTCAAGATTTGTTGAAAAAGGGTATCCGGTAGAGGAAATAGAACGGAAAATTAAGGAAGTGGGTAATATGGATAGAAACATTTTCCTTGAAGATAGGATTAAAGATGAGGGGTTCGATGCCCAAATCGTGGTTATTTTAGATTTTAATGTACATTTTAAAAAGATAGAAACTATCTATAAAAAATATTGGGATATCCTTAAGTTGGATCCGGTTATAGGGAAATTATTACCCGACTCCCCTAGATTTATTTACAGAAAAGCCCCGACGATCAGGACAAAGGTGGTCAAAAATGTACTGGATCCTCCTACAACAAATCATATCACTTTCCTGAATGAAAAAGGTTTTTTTTCATGTAGAAATTGTTTTACCTGTTTGGCCACAAAAAGACTAAACAAAAGACGAAAAAGTTTTATTGCTACTACTACGGGCCAGGAGTATAAGATTAATGATTTCATATCAAGTGCAGAACACTGTACCTTTAATTTAAATGCCCTTGGAGATGAGGAAGGAGAAGGATGAGAAGAAGAAGAAGAAGGATGAGAAGAAGGAGAAGAAGGATGAGAAGAAGGAGAAGAAGGATGAGAAGAAGGAGAAGAAGGATGAGAAGAAGGAGAAGGAAGGATGAGAAGGAGAAGAAGGAAAGGATGAGAAGAAGGAGAAGAATGATGAGAAGAAGGATGAAAGAAGGAGAAAGGATGAGAAGAAGGAGAAGGATGAGAAGAAGGAGAAGGATGAGAAGAAGGAGAAGGGATGAAGAAGAAGGATGAGAAGGAAGGATGAGGAAAGAAGGATGAGGAGAAGGATGAGGAGAAGGATGAGAAGAAGGATGAGGAGAAAGGATGAGGAGAAGGATGAGGAGAAGGATGAGGAGAAGGATGAGGAGAAGGCTGATGAGGAGAAGGATGAGGAGAAGGATGAGGAGAAGGATGAAGGAGAAGGAGAAGGAGAAGGATGAGGAGAAGGATGAGGAGAAGGAGAAGGATGAGGAGAAAGGAGAAGGATGAGGAGAAGGAGAAGAAGGATGAGAAGAAGGAGAAGGATGAGAAGAAGGAGAAGGAAGGATGAGAAGAAGGAGAAGGTATGAGAAGAAGGATGTGAAGAAGGAGAAGGGTTGAGAAGGATGAGAAGAAGGAGAAGGATGAGAAGAAGGAGAAGGATGAGAAGATACAGGAGAAGGATGAGAAGAAGGAGAAGGATGAGAAGAAGGAGAAGGATGAGAAGAAGGATGAGAAGAAGGGAATGAAACAGGATTGAAGATGAATGGATGAGAAGGAGGAGAAGGATGAGAAGGAGGAGAAGGATGAGAAGATGAGGAGAGAAGGATGAGAAGGAGGAGAAGGAGAAGGATGAGAAGGAGAAGAGAAGGAGAAGGATGAGAAGAAGGAGAAGGATGAAAGGACAGTTCTGTGACAGTTCTGTTCTATTTCTGACAGTTCTGTGACATTCACTCCATACAGCGGTTTCAACCGCTGTATGGAGCTGAATGTCCCAGAACTGTCAGAAATAGGCTATTTCTGACAGTTCTGGGACATTCACTCCATACAGCGGTTGAAACATTGTATCTATTTGTTTCCATAAATGGATCCATTTATGGAAACAAATAGATACAATGTTTCAACCGCTGTATGGAGGAGTGTCCCAGAACTGTCAGAAATAGCCTATTGCGGATACACTCTGCAGATACACTTTTGCGGAGGAGCTCTGCAGATACACTGTTTCTTCCGGCTTGGAATTATTCTTATTTTACATCTACTTCTTCCATACAGCCGGCAAAACAAGTTCTTCTTCTTCTGCAGCATCACTTTTTGCCGGCTTGGAATTTCATCCATCCTACTCATCCTCTTCTTCTTCTTCATCCTCTTCTCTCATCTGAGGATGAATAAGATGAGGATGAAGAAGAAGAAGTAGGATGAAAATAAAATAATTCCAAGCCGGCAAAAGAGCTCTGCAGGTACACTTTTTGCCGGCTTGGAATTATTCTTATTTTTTCATCCTACTTCTTCTCCTACTTATCCTCATCCTCAGAAGAGGAGAAGAGGATGAGGATGAAGAGGAAGAAGAATACATTCTTTGTATCTATTAGTTTTCCAATTTAGGATACAAAGATGTATCTTTTCAACGCTGTACTTGTGAAGAAGCTGTGCAGATATTCAGAGAGGAACTTGCACATACACTTTTTGCCGGCTTGGAATTATTCTTCCTATTTTCATCCTACTTCTTCTTCTTCTTCATCCTCATCCTCAGAAGAAGAAGAAGAGAAGATGAAGAGGAAGAAGAAGAAGAAGAAGTAGGATGAAAATAAGAATAATTCCAAGCCGGCAAAAAGTGTATGTGCAGCGTTCCTCTATTTCTGACAGTTCTCTGACAGCTTCTTCACATGTACAGCGGTTGAAACATCTGTATCCTAAATGGAAACTAATAGATACAATGTTTCAACCGCTGTACATGTGAAGGAACTGTCAGAGAAATGTCAGAAATAGCGGAGCTCTCTGCAGGGACACTTTTGCCGGATTCGCTCATCTCTATCCAGAATATTAATAAAGGATTTCCAAAACACAGTGTTTCGAGACATTTTGCATTATACCACAATAAGGATCCCAGCAAGATGAAATTTTGGGGGATTGAAAAGTTTAAGAAACACTGGAGGGGGACTAATAAAATTAAATCCCTTAGCCAGGCTGAGTCTAGGTGGATCTATTCTATGAATACGCAAGTCCCCAAAGGGTTAAATGTCGAGTTCGACCTAAATAGCTTCATCAGTGATTACTGAGATGTTTTTATGTACTCCTTTCTTAGTATACATAATTTTTTGCCCATTTAGGCCCATTAGAGGTAAATTCATGTAGGATCATTATTTGTATCTAATTTCAACGGATTTTATTATCCATATATTAGGCCCATTAGAGGTAAATTCCTGTAGGATCATTATTTGTATCTAATTTCAACGGATTTTATTATCCATATATTATTAGAAGTTTAAATTTGAGGTATCATCTGTTTTTAAAAAATTCTTTTATTTATTATTATTCATAATGTTTTAGATATAAATAGCAATTTAATCAATATTTATAGGTGATGGGAGATGAAGTTTTTAGTCTTCTTCCTACCATGTCCATTTATTAGTTATTTTAGTAGTATATATTTATTAATGTCACTATTAAATTATGTAAATGTGTGGGTAGACTGTATGATGTAGGGAATTTTGTGATTTTATATATTTTTTTATATAATTATATACCACATTAGTTCATTCCTATATATATATTTATTTTTATTGGTATTATTAATATATGTTATCCCCTTAGTTTCTTCCCCAGAGATGTGGACAGAGTATCAATTTATTTATGTATTTTATTTTCATATTAAATTCAGAGGCTAAATGACAGGAGGGAGTCGGGAAAATGACCGCCGTTCTAAATGGGAGATGTAGTCGGGAATATGGCGCGGGTACGGAGGATTGTATGAGAGGTGGGCCTCTAGTTAAATTGTCACATTAGGCCCAGTATAAAGGGAGGAACTGCGCTCGTAGGGTGTTACCCAGATGAAGTCACGAGTAGGCGGTGACGTAACGCGTAGGTACGCGAGTCCGTAGTTCCGGTGCGTGGTGACGCATTTCCGGCGTGAGACGCCATCTTGCTATACCCAAGAGGTCCCATTCACATGCAGTACACCCACACATCAGTGAGGAGGGAAGATTGTCTGCAATGTGAGTGTTAAACCTTTTTTACTCTTTTTGTAATAAATGAAGTTGACTCAATACTGCACTTAGAGAGTTTTTTTGGCTCACTGGATTGGTGAGCTATTACTCCTCAGGACCGCCCTGACTGAATAGGGGCATTTGGAACCCTGTAAAGGAGATCCAGGGAAGGAAGGAAGCTGCAGGCCATTACAAACTAAGGATCCAGGGGTGATCCTGCAAGCCTGTTGGCCCTTTGGGGTCAGTAGGAGGAGGTGAGGAGGCAATCTAGCCATTAACGAAAGAGGAGTTTTGCATAGTCACGTTTTTCATCCAATATCACTGCTGCACATCGCATGATTTACCTTATCTTTCACTAAAAGGACATTGTTTTTTAATATATATACTTATGTTGATTTATTTTTGGTGATATATATGTTGATTTATGTTTATCCTATATCACTGCTGCACATTGCATGATTTGCCTTATATTTCACTAAAAGGATATTGCTCTTGATGCATATATTGTGTTGATTTATTTTTGTGGCACTATGTGAGCACTGCTAAAGTTTTTTCTATTTGATGACGTTTGGAGTGTTATTTATCATACTTAACCGTGTGCACACTATTTTTATGGTCATGGTTTGGCACTTAATTTCTTATTTTCAATAAGGGTTGGCACTAATTTTTTATTTATATCATTATTGTTATTTTTGTCGTTATTATTACAATTGAGTTGTAGTTTTTTAGAGCGCTGCACTGTTTATTTTATTATTTAGTGAAAGTGTTAACCTTTCACCCCCAACTCCTGTATTAGTGGTCATGGCAGTGCAAGTGTTAAATCCCCTCCCCCTCAGGAGTATGTCTGAGAATACAAGTTAAAATAACAACTGTGTTTATAAACTAAGCCTTACAGCTCAATCCCACACTACTTGTACCCCTCGTTCTTTTCTCTGATCAGTGGTTCACGTAGTCCATGAGCTTCGGCCTGAGCTGTGCAGTGTTCCAGGCCTCTTCTGAGCTATCAAGGCTGTACAGTACTGTCCAATGTGGCCTAATAGAAAAGCCATCCAATGGCAAGACTGCAGGTTGATTTTGTTTTTCATTAGAGTCTATGAAGAATAAGTGCACATGCACAGAACTGCATGTCTCCATCAGTTCAGTAGAGGATCTCTGTCCCATTTATCTTAGTGAGGGCTGTAGCTACTTGCCCCGAGTTGTGTGTTGGTCTGAGAGTAGAAGGAGGTATGAGTAGCTTACTAAGTACATAGTTCCATAAAAGGTGGTGTTCTCTCACTTTTGATTGCCTGCAGCTATGATTTTGCATTTCCTGACCCTACAGACAGGCTCAGAAACACATGTTTGTTGAGGAGAGTCACAAACGTGTATCACTCCTACTTCATCTCCTCCTACTGTGAATTAGGTTAGTAATGTTTACTCCTGACTTCTCCCTGGTTTCACACAGTAGTGTGTCTGTATATCAAGACTGAACTGTCTGTGCCCAAACTCTCTCTGCCACACAATGGGGGTTAGACTCCTGATGTGTCAACAAAACAGACCTGTGGAGTAAGAAATGTTACATGGAGGGGTGATATTCATCCCAGTGCTAGTAGAAAGTGCCTGATTGTCATCTGATCACTTCAATTTATCGTCTACTATAAAGCCATAACATTCCCTGATGCAGGTCCATGAATAATAGTTTTTATTGAAGATCAGAAATGGTGTGTTGCCAGTCCAAATCAGGGTGATGGCCAGAAAGTGTGATGAAATTCAGATGCAGCTAGGTGAATTGTGCGAAACCAGCCATTAAACCAGTGTTCTTACAACAGTTTCTGTTCGGTTATTTACTGCTTATCAAACATTCATATAAAACTGATCATTGTTATATGAATGTTCTGTCTCCTACAGGCTTTAGGTGACATTCAGATTGCAGTGAAGCTGGCAAGTATGGATCTCGGCTCCCATGAGCACCCACTGGACAGACAGTATCGGCAGTTACATTGCTCACTTCAGAATTTGGATAAAACTTCAGATGAATTTCAGGTATAATATTTCTCATGCAGATTTAGAGAATTCCCCACTTACTCTACATTGACAAACATACAACCTGTTGTAGCAGGGAAAGTTACAGATAAGCTGGGTTTTTGAATGAATGTTTACATGAAATAACTAAAATATGAGTCACAGTGATTTAGTGTTTGTAACTTTATTACAGAACTATAGGCAAATGTACAATGCCCACATTTATTCAAAATGTATATGTATGAAAATATTAACTCTTTTAAAATACTACCCCAATCTGTCTTTATATTGGCCTCTTGTAATAATATCACCTGTTCAGCAGTACTCAAACTAGGAGCCAGTCAGGTTCTAATGCTTTTTGCATAGTGCTTCCGGTCTAACACACAGCTTGGTGATATGATAGAGAGAATTAGAGTATCCCCATCAGTGTACAGCTGCTACTTCACTGTTCAATTGACAAGCTAAATTGCTCTAGCAGCAGTGGAAAAGTTAGTTAAGAGACCTGCAGATGCAGTTTTGCAGTGGTACGTGAATCACAAGACTGACTAAACAGAATTACAAAGTTGTCAGGTAACTGCAGTATTGCTTTAGAGATCTCTAGTGTTTTCTTTGTGCAGAACTACCAATCTTTAGTCCAGACTTGACACTCATTTTTGTATCTTCAATCCTTGAAAAGCTTATTGAGCGCTACTTGAGAACAACACATGCCTCTACTCACAATGATTACACTATGACCTTGATGAATGTTTTCCGGATAAAAAAAGAAGGTGAGGAGAGTAACTTCCAAGCGGAACTCCCCAACAGGTATGTGTTACAAGATACACAGCAAACGATATGGATCCGGTCTTGTTTTTATAGAGCTGATCCATGTTATTGTCTATAAAAACATTCGTATTTAGATGAAATTGAGTGAAAGGGGAAAATGCCTAGTAATCTTTTTACCAGTAGTCACTGTCTACTTCTTTAAATACAGATTTTGTTTCTGGTACACTGAAGGACACAGGAAGCCATCACCTTTAGGCTATACAGCCATGTACAGGAGGTTTCAGTACTGGCAAACAAAAAAACAGTCCGGCCCAGGATTACCCCTATTACCAGCATGCCTCTGTTTTTTCCTAGTGACCTAGTGAAGCTAATGATCATCTCTTCTTCAGCTCTGCTAGGAAAAGTCTAACCATGTTTTTACTAGCTTTTTTTCTTTAATTCTTCTTCAATTGTTTCTTCATTTAAGAATTCCTACCACATTCCTGCTTGAGGTGGAGTATCATACCCAGACCCTGCCAAACTGGAAGTTGGAGGGCTAGCTTTGTGGCACTGTACAGACCATGCGCTGGTAAAAGAAAAAAATTGCCATGGAACACTTTCCAGTTTCAGAGCCCTTGGCTTTGTTTCAGAACTCGCCTTGTCATTGAAGACTTTGCGAGTAGGACCTTTGGGCTGAGCCCTGGGAGCAACCTTATTTTGTTTGCTGATTGCCTTCAAATTTTCTGCCTTCCATCAGCTTACTGCAGAAGGGGTGAATGCTGAGGCATTGAGCACTTATTTCATCCGCTGGGTGGAGCATTGCGTGCTCTTCACTCTCTTTCCTGCTTTTCAGCATAGAGGAAGCTTAGCCTAGCTGCTGCTCCAGCTTGTGGAACTCTGATCCTTGGTCGGTTCCTGCTATCTGCCTACAATGACTTGGCTATCTCTGGTTGTTTGACCATACACGTGCTATCAACAGTTGGGTTTGTACATGAGTACCCTCATACCCCTGAGCTTAGTTGCCTTTCTACCTTGCAGTTGCAACATATCTGATTCTATACACAGGGGAACAAAATTCCTTCTGTACCAGGAGTCCCCCACTTCAAACCCCAATAACGGCTCCAGTGTTACCTCCCAGTGGTCCTACTGATATGGTTGACATCTGTAGCCTGGAATCATACCCTCTGTTCCTAGGGGCTATACAATCTTGGAGTCTTCCCTAGCTTTGTCGGGCACGCCCACCTCTTACGCTCTTTCCAAAGATAATTTCACTGCAGTCATGCAGGACTTTTTGGGACAAATAGCACAGATGTTTGCTGACACTGACTGCAGAGACCATAATTATGCTCATCCTTTTCCTCCTGCAGATTCTGTATCTGAGATGCTTGCAGCCTCCAGCCATCTGCTGCTAGGACATTAATGCCGAGTCTCTCTAGTATTTGCTGGATGAACTTGCCTCTGAGGAGTTGCATTTGCCGCTCTAGAGTGCGTCTCTTGCTAAAATTTCCAAGCTAACAGAAACAAACCATTTGGGCTCTTATTAATGAGGTAGGTACTACTTTAAAACTAGAGACTCAGACTGTTGCCTCTGCCAGCACTGTTCTGAAGACTGCAAAGACTTTTTTGGTGCATCTACTCTTATCCATGTTTCTTTATGGAGACTGAAAACCTCTTGACAGGATGTTTGCACCTCCCAAGTGCCTATCAGTTGTGTAAGTTTGAGGACGACTTTGTTAAAAATTGGTTTACCCTCTCACTGTATTTGTGTGTGTGTCCCGACTTAATCAAGTGTCCCATCTCATCAAAACGACTGTCATGCCAGTGGAGGATGCACCTGTCTTTATGGATCCCACCAGTAAGCAATAATAGTCTCTACAGCTTTGTACTTCCTGGAAAGTTCTGCTCTACAACCTTGTTCTTGACATGACCTTACTCTGTCTTGCTCATTGGTCTAAGATTATTAGAAATGTTGTACTTGTGGCAGTTGATATTGTGGTCATAGAACATTTAGAACAAATGCCTGCTACTGTGAGCAGCAGTGTTAATGGATTGTTGGTTTGCCATCTCATTTCCCACATACGTCATCTGTCTGAACATGCAGAGAACACTTTAGCTAAAGTGTTGGACTGCAAAGTGGAGGGACATCTGTTAATTTTTGCAGACACTTAAACAGCCTGCATCTCAAATGCTTGGGTGCAGCAATTCGTTTCCAGAGGCTGCAAGCTGGAGTTTTCTCTTCCAACCACCATCCTGGTTGCTTCAAACCTTCCTGTGTCACTGAACCGATTAACAGATCCCCATACAGCCTCAGTGAGTCTGTTGGAACATGGTATCATTGCCCCAGTCCTGGTAGCACAATGGTTTCAGGGTTTTTACTCCAACCTATTCCTGGTTTCCAAGACAAAATTGCCATCCTCCCTTTCTAGGATCTGGAATTTCTAAATGTCTTTATTCGTGCAAAGAAGTTCTCTAATGAATCTAAGGGGTCTTTGGTCATCCTTCTTCACCAAGGAGGTTTCTTGACATTGGTCGAAATCAAGGGTGCATGTCTACATATCCCCATTTTTCCAGAGCAGCAGTGTCACTTACTTTTTGCTGTGGGCTTTCTGCACTCCCAGTTTGTGGTCCTACCGTTCAGCCTGTTTTTGGCACATTGGCCTAATGCACATGTGGGGCATACCTTTGGGATACCTAGACCTCCTACTGAGGGAACAGTTGGCATAGGTTCTGCAGACAATGTTCAAATCTTTCAGAGGTTTGGATGCATCGTGAACCTACAGAAATCCTTGCTGGAATCAATTTATCATTTGAAATATCTTGGTCTAGTATTAAGACACTTTTCAAGCCTGAGTTTTTCATCCTCAGGAAACTGCAAACTCTCTACTCCCAGACTCCACCTCTGCAGTCCCGAAGTCACCCGTGTGTCTGCATCTGCACAAGAGTTTTCTGGCTGATGATAGCTTCCTTCGAGGCAGTCCCATTTGCTTATTTTCACTCCAGGCATCTACTATACAATTTCCTGTGTCTTGGAAGATTCTTACAACAGATGTCAGCCTGTTGGGCTGGGGAGGAATCTTGGGCACTCTGTAATTGCATAGGATTTGGATGTAAAATGAATCCCATCTACCGACCATTCTGGAATATTGGGTGATTTGGCTGTTTCTTCCTTTCCTGAACCACCCAGCTTGACTGGTCATCCGAACCATATTAAGTCAGATAACACCATAGCAGTGGTATACATTAAAGCAGTAGTAAACCACAAAAAAAAAAGAAAATTCTCTCTGCAAGTAAAGGGCACAATGTGCTAGTAGCATCGCCTACTAGCACATTAACTGCTTCCAGACCGCCCTGTAGCAGATATACTGCTACAGGGCGGCATGGGTGTGCAAAATCACTTGCATACATACGTGATTTTGCATCTCCATGGAGGGGGCATACGCGCGCCCCGCCAGCCGCGGCTGTCAATCACCAGGTCCCGGATGGTGATTACTCGCTGGTGCCCATTGATTGCCAAGCATCTCCGACGGGGAGGAGAACTGTTTGTAAACAAAACAGTTCTCCCTGTCAGCTCGTGCACACTGCTTTGGATGGCTGTGCACAACACAGCCATGCAAAGCAGTGTGATTACAGTGAAGCACAAGCACACGGCCCCATAGTAAAATACACCCAGCACATAGTTAACCCTTTGATTGCCCCTCAGTGCCCAGTGCCATTATTAGTGTCGGTGCCTTTTTTTTTAGCACTGATCACTGTACAGTGTCAGAATGCCCGCCACAGTCCCACTATAAGTCACTGATCGCCGCCATTACTAGTAAAAAAAAAAAAAATTCCATTATCTATACTGCCATTTGTAAATGCTATAATTTTCACGTAAACCAATTAATTTACACGTATTGGGATTTTTTTTTACCAAATACATGTAGCAGAATACATTTTGGCCTTATACTGGACATGTTTAATAGCAAAGTCAAAAATTATTGGGGTTTTTTTTTCTCAAAATTGTTGGCCTTTTTTTTTTTTATATATAGCGCAAAAAATACTACCGTAAAAAAGCTCAATTCATGGGGGAAAAAAAGGATGTAAATTTAATTTGGGTGCAGTGTTGCATGACCGTGCAATTGTCAGTTAAAGTAACGCAGTGCCGTAACGCAAAGAAAGATGTCCTGGTCAGGAAGGAAGGGCAAATCCTCAGGGCAAGTGGTTAAGAAAGACCTGCCTGAAAACAAAGCCCTCCAGCCAGGGCTTCCATCTTCACCTGGTCTTCCTTCCAGATTCACAGGCTGCAGCCGTTTGACTGGCCGAGACGCAATGATGCACGCATGTGTCAGTCTCGCCCACGGCACGCTGTCCATTGAGAGCACAGTGCACATGCACAGGTGCTGCTAAAGTAAATGTCTCCTAAATAGTGCAAATTTAGGAAATATTTACTGTACCTATAGGTATAGGCTTACCTGTAGGTATAAATAAACAAACGGTACTTTACTGACACTTTAACCATTAGTAAGGTACCAGAACTCTTACAACCGCTAGTAAGGTAGAACAGATCCTGTTCTGAGAAGCGCCAGCCTTGTCTGACGTTTTTTTTTTTTTTTTTTTTTTTTTTGTTTTTTTTTTTAAATATCCCAAATGTGGACAGTTGTCAGGTAGACCTCCTCAACTGGCAGTGTATGGATCTGGTAAAGTAGTCCCTTCACTCAGAGCTGAGCCAGGACTGTGTCACCGGTAGGGATACCTGATGTGGATTTTCTGGTCTCTGGGTGCAAGAACAATTTAACACGTTTGTCTCCAGATTGGATTGGCGCAGGCAGATGTGTCACTCCGATCTTATAAAAATTCTGACGCATGCTCGATGGACTGTTCTGTCTCCCGAACCACTTTACCATCCTGCTTCATGGTCCCTGGCTTTAACAACAAGTCTGTCTAAAAGAGAGAAAAAACAGGTGGCGCACACACCTAGTGCATTATCCAAGGTTTATGTAGGAATTAAATCATAAAAACATACTCACAGACGAAGCATGTATCTAAAAAGCATAGAAAAATGACAATGGCCACAACGGCAGGCAAGGTGTTCTCACTGTCAGTGCGGTCAAATGGCATCAACAGCAGGGCTCTCACTTTACTTTCCATTCATCGTGCATCAGCATCAGAGGTTGGTCATCAGCTCTGAGGAAAGGGATTCGTCCCCGAAACGCGTCAGCCATTTGACCGCACTGACAGTGAGAACACCTTGCTGCCGTTGTGGCCATTGTCATTTTTCTATGCTTTTTAGATACATGCTTCGTCTGTGAGTATGTTTTTATGATTTAATTCCTACAATAAACCTTGGATAATGCACTAGGTGTGGTGCGCCACCTGTTTTTCTCTCTATCCAGTGGCTGATTTCCCCGTCTGAGGAGGGCTGCACCCCTGGAACATTTCCTTTTGGTTGTCGCTGTTACCCTGGTACCCTTGGCTTCCCTTTTTGCTGTGCATATCCTGAGGCGCTGGAGAGTACATACGCTAACAAGTCTGTCTAAGCCCAGGTTCTGAGACATGGGCATTTCTGAATTGGTTATTCTCACAATTCTAGAAGTTTTAAATTGTGTATACCACAAGGTCGATGGCTGTACGTAGAATGCATACTTTGCTTTGTATGAGGGACAGGCTTCTCACCCCCAAAAATTCTCTGTGATACGAATTATCCCTTCCCTACAGCTGAAATTGAATAAGCATTAGGCCCTCAGCTCCTTCAAGGGTCTTTGCTCTTGCTATCTTGTTCCAAAGACCAATCTGATTTAAGACCTCTGTTTTGGCTGTTTTCCATGTGCCTCCACCTATTTGCTCTCATGTGGGAATTTGAATTCTCTTAGCAGTTCAAAACCACCCCATTGAACCTATACAGAGATATTCCTCTCTCCACTATTACCCTATGGTGGTGTTTCTTACAGCTGTCAACCCTATCCTGTAAAGAGTGCATTCTGGTCTTACACAAAGGATGAGGGTGGTGTTGAGGCCCAGAACCTTTTTATCTAAGGTAGTTTTAGCCTTTAATTTTAACAAGGACATTGTTCTTCAATCCCTCTGTCTGGCCCCAGTTCATCATATGATTTTCCTCTACTGCATGGTTATAGTTTGATCTGTCAGCCACTGTTTCCTTCAGAAAACACTGACTCTATTTGTTATTCTGGATGGTACCTGTCAAGGTGAACCAGCTTCTCAATCCACCATTTCTAGGTGGCCCGGGCACACTGTTATTCAAATAAACAACAAAATGTCACCAGCGCCTCAAACATTTTCACACATTTATTTGTGCAATGTCAGGTTAGTCAAATAAGCCAGCATAGTGACCACTAATGGAAGGGACTCTACCGGGCCCGGAAACATTGGCTTTTTTGACTGTGACATTGTACTAATAAATGAGCATATATGTTTGAAACAAAGTGCTGGTAATGTTCCATTGTTTTACTTTTATTTATGTGGCACTATTTACTGCAGTCACTGCAAGCACCCATCTGCTACCAAGGACGAACACCGAAAGGAGTGTGGTCCTCATCCCTTGATTTGTAAAACCTTTATCCAAGGCTATGGTCTTTGGGAAGGGGGTCCTCCCTTTCTTGTCAAGGCACATTCTGCTGTGCCTCTTGGGCTCTTCTGCATCAGGCTAGTATTTGACAGATTTTTAAATGCAGTCATCTGGTCTTTTGTTCACACATTTTCCAAGTTATACCTGGTGGCTGTTCTGATGCCAGCTTTGGGTGTAAAGTTGTCCAGGCAGTCCCTAGTTCTGTTGTTTACTAATCGGTCTTGTTTCCTTCTTACCCATACCTCAGTTTGAGTGCTTTTGGACATCCTGGAGGAAAGGGAAAATAGGGTTTTGCACTTACTGTAAATTTATTTTCGGGACACTGGTCCCACTCCTTTGATCTATGGTTATGCTCCTGGTACTGCTTTGCTACAAAATTGAGCCATACTGTAAATAGAAGGGGTTATCGTGGGGCTGGCCTACAATGTTTCTAAAAATGCATAAAGGTGCATAGTACTATCTAAAGAATATCTGCATTTCCTATATATTTTTTTTTATAATTTGTTAATATATGTATGTGTGTGTGTGGGTGAAATAAGAGAATCAAATCATTGAAAAATTCTATAGTAATGTTTGTTTCTAAAGGATGCTTCTGTGGCACGGATCACGTCTGTCTAACTGGGTTGGTATCCTTAGCCAAGGTCTGCGTGTGGCTCCCCCAGAAGCCCCAGTAACAGGGTACATGGTAGGTAATATACTGCTACTATATAAAAGGGCCATACCATGACAAATAGAACAAAACATTATGATGTAATAGCAGCTTACACATCAGGACACTTGGATGAAAATAATGTTTGTTTGCCACTGGGGAGCTGTAGAATCTTAAAGTCTCTGTCCCTAGACTGTTCAGTTAAAGACTTTTTTTTTTTTTTTTAACACACAAAACCCTCCCTTGTGTAGACTTCCAAAAACCAGAGAGAGCTGCTGGGTGCTGCCATCTTAGATGTGATGTCAGTAGCCCCAGCAGACTCAGTGCTGTTACTCAAGTGACATTCTATAGTATTACCCTTTGCTCTTCCTCTTTAAAAGTTATGTAGGGAGGGGAGGGGCAGAAAAGCTGGGCCAGCACAGAGATTAATTAAAAACTCCCAGAAGTGGAGAGGGCTATGAGGTGCAAGGAGGGAGGGGGTGTGCTAGAGAAGACATTTCCTGGAGTGGTCAAATTTCCTAGTAAATTCAAAGACACAATACAGCTGAATGAAAAAAAATATAAAACATTTGGTACTTTTGCCAGTAATTATTTTAAGTTTGTGACTGGGTCTATTTAAGTAGTTATTGTAGAACTTTCTTTTTGTTGTCGTTTGAGTATATAAATATACATAAATGCTGTCGGAAGGAATATTCATTTCAACATACTTTTTTCTTTTAGTTTGGCAAAGGAATCTATTTTGCTGATGTCTCCTCAAAGAGTGCAAATTACTGCTTTACCACCCGTGATAAGAATGTGGGAATTCTTCTACTGTCTGAGGTAATGTCAGTTGGGAATTTCTAACAATTAGTAATTCTGATTTTCCAATATCACAATTGGTCGGCAAGAATATATAAAGGGATTGTTGATTATCAATGAGCTTCCCCTATATAACTACACTGTGTACACAATTGTTGGACAATATGCATAAAAATAATGATTTGGTCTAAATACTCACTTGCCTAACTCCAAGCTATATAAACTTGAATGCTTATTGGATTTAAGAATATCAGGTGATAAGTATTTGTGTAATGAGGGAGGGTGTGGCCTAAGGAGATCAACACCCTATAGCAAAGTGTGCATAATTATTAGGCAGCTTCTTTTTTTCACGCGAAATGGGCCAATAAAAAGATTGAACTGACTCTGAAAAGTCAAAAATTGTAAAAATTGTCTTTCAGAGGGATGCAGCACTTTTGAAATTGCTAGGATAATGGAACGTGATCCCAAAAACATCAAACATTTTGTTGCAAATAGTCAACAGAGTTGCAAGAAACGTGTTGAGAAAAATACGTAAATTAACTGCCAAAGCTATGAGAATAATCAAACGTGAAGCTACCAGGAACCCATTATCCTCCAGTGCTGTCATATTCTAGAACTACAACCTATCTGGAGTGCCCAGAAGTACAAGGTGTTCAGTGCTCAGAGACATGGCCAAGGTAAGGGAGGCTGAAACCCGACCACCACTGAACAAGACACATAAATTGAAATGTCAAGACTGGGCCAAGAAGTATCTGAAAACAAATTTTTCAAAGACTTTATGGACTGATGAGATGAGTGACTCTTGACTGACCAGATGGATGGGCACAGAGCTCCACTTTGTCTCAGACGCCATCAAGATGGAGGTGGGGTTCTGCTTTGGGCTGGTATTAAAGATGAGCTAGCTGGACCTTTTCAGGGTTGAAAATGGACTCAAAATCAACTCCCAAACCTACTGTCTTTTTGACACTTTCATCAAGCAGAGGTACAGGAAAAAGTTTGCATCTTTCAAGAATACCATGATATTTATGCACAATAATGCGTCATTGTATGCATCAAAGTACTCCACTGCGTGGCTAGAAAGTAAAGGCTTTAAGGAAGGAAGAATAATGAGATGGTCCCCTTCCCCACCTGAGCTAAACCCTATTAAGAACTTATGGGCCCTTATTAAACAGGTGAATTACGGTGAAGGAAAACAGTACACCTCTCTGAACAGTGTCTGGGAGGCTGTGGTTGCTGCTGCACAAAAAGTTGATCTTCAACAGACCAAGAAACTGACAGACTCCATGAATGGAAGGTTTATGACTATTATTGAAAAGGTGGGTGGCTATATTGGTCACTGATTTTTTTTTTTTTTTAAATGTCAAAAATGTTTATTTGTAAATTTTAAGGTTTGTTTATTCTCACTTTAAAGGCCGGTTCACACTATAGAAACGTAGTCCAGATGCGTTTCCACATGTTCGTTTTTGATGTGTCCCAGTGCATTTTTTATGCAGTCCAGTTCATTTTTCCCCTCTTTTTCTTCAATTTAAATAGGGACATGTGTTTCCCAGTGCGTTTTTTGATGCGTTTTACCGTATTCCAGTACAGTTCTGTGCAGAAAAAATGCAGATGTTCTACTTTTTTTTTCTGCAGCCGGAACGCACTGGACTGCAAGCACTGATGTGAACTATGACATTGACAACCATATAACCTATTTTCTGTGCATTTTGGATTCAGAAAAAAAGCAACTGAAATGCATGTAGTGTGAACTGACCCTAACAGATGAAAATAAACAAGTGAGATGGGAACGTTTTCGTTTTTCATTTAGTTGCATAATAATTCTGCACACTACTAATTGCTCACTAATTGTGCACACATAGATATTCTCCTAAGGAAGCCAAAACCTCACTTTTCTTAAACATTCAGGTCTGAGGTTTATTAAGATTTTGCATGGACCGAGAGCACTGTAGTTCTCTAATGAAAGTAATTCTCAAAAATACAACTTGTCTAATAATTGTGCACACAGTGTAGTGCCCCTTTGTGGGTAAAGCTGGTCAGATATTATTATACAGTATTTAGATATAGATCGAAATTTGGCCAGTTCAACAGGAACTAACTGAATTTCGATCTATGTATGGCTGTTCCTATTCATGAGACGGCAATTTATCAATTGACTTTTTATGAACAGGCATGTTGGAAAATTTTTGCTTGTTTAGTGGATACTGCCAGTATCAGAATACAATGACACAGCGTGGAGGATTTCCCCATCCACCTCCAAATATGTGAAAGGTGGAATTGGCTTAGGTTTTTTTTTTCTTTTTTTTTTTTTTTTTCAGCCAGCTGAAAAATCTGAGTAATGTATAGCCAACTTTTACCCCCTTTCTAGGGTGAACATTTAACTTGGCTATTTCTGCTTCATCCTGGTGATTGTGACGTTTGTATTACTTTTTATTTTGTCATGGTAAAACTAGCCCATCGTATTTTATCAAGTAAGACGATACAGTGAAAGTTAACAAATGTTGAACTGGATAGCAAGAAAAGAGGTACACAAAGTCTTTAACCTTCAGGTTATACTGATGCCTACAGGAGGATTGAACATTTATAAACAAAAAACTGTAGCCCAGCCTAAGGCTGGCCATACATTATGTAATTCTCTTGTACAATTTTCCTTTAGATTTACCAAAAACCATATAATATGAGCTCAGCCCTAAACAACACTTTCAACTTGCACTACATAATATGTACAGTCCATAGGGCGCTCGTGCTAGGACCAGACCTCTATTGGTGCTAGGGTTCAAGACATGCAGTAAGTGCCTAAAGAGATGGGAGGACAAGTAAACACTAGGGCAGCTCTTCATAGAGTAAAAGCAAGGCTCTGATAATAGGAGAACACAAAAAGAAGGCGTTTCTAAATGCAGCAATATGGCAGTTTATTAGCATAAAAGGTTAAAACCATTTACAGTGGAGTAGGGACCGTTCAGCCGTCGAGTCGAGCAGCAGTGGGACCTGTTTGCGTTCCACGCCGATTCCAGAAGTGTGGTGGCCATCTTGGTTCCAACATTCCTGTGCTCCACGGGTGCCGCTGGGCAGCTGAACAGTCCCTGCTCCATTTCCACCAGAAATATAGGATACACATGTGATGAGTCTGTTCTTCTGTACTTCTTGGAAATGATTTTATCCTTTTATGCTAATAAACTGCCATATTGCTACACTTAGAGGTGCTTTCATTTTGTGTTCTCCTTGTAGTACATAGTTGAAGGTAAATCTGAAGGAAATTGTACAAAAATTTTATAGAAAATTGTATAATGCATGGCCAACCGAAGATAACCTCTCCCACTACAGACCTGCCCTAGTTTGTTTTCTGGGAGCTCTGTTCCCGTGAATGGGCACTGACCTTCATCCAATTCTGGCTGTGATGATACTTTGCCAAAACAGGCAAACTGGTTTAAATCCCTTAAGAGAGCTGATTACTGAGGTTCATCCTTTACTTATAGAACATACACTGCTCCCTGCAGAGTGTAATTTTGATCCTGTCTCTCTCTTCAGTTTTATTTTCTCTAACCTTCCTTTGTCACCACACAGATTAAAGGATCTCTATTGACCCCTCTTGGGTTTTCTGGATCAAAGTGTATTTTCTCCAGTTCTTGTGTCAGAACGATTCCAGTGGTTTTACTCCAGCCTGTTCACTGTTCCCAAACTCAGAGGGAGCATTAATTTCATTATAGAACTCCATGTATTCATTAAATCCAAAAATTCCACGTGGAATTGACCAAATCTGTTATTGCCTTCTTTCACCAGGCAGATTTTTTCTGACTTTGTGTTCCCATCCTTACAGGGCATCAGAGATTCCTAGACTTTTCTGTTGAGTCCTTCATCACTAGTTTGTGACCCTTCCTTTTGTCTGCTCCTCTGACATTCCGTAAGATTCTGGCCCTAGTAATAGCCCTTCTGTGCATCCTCATTGTGGGATACTTGGAACTCCTGTTAGGGGAACTCTCAGCACAGGCTTTGTCAGACAACCTGATGTTAGAAGGATCCAAATGTATCCTGAACCTTCAGCACTCATTGTTGGGACAGAGTTGGTCACTAGAGAAGTCTAGTCTCATATGCACTGCATAAATATATCTAAGTGCCTCACAGTACAAATATTGTAACCTATAACTTATGCCATGTGTTTCAGTCTCATATTTCAACAACAAACATAATACAGTAATGAAAATAATAAATCCATAGAAATATTAATAAAAAAAGTCCCAAGTGTCCATATAGTCTTGCAAACATATATATCATCAGCACAGGGCCAATCGGCACTGTCCAGACAAAGGTCAGGGGTTTTGCATCCTCCTAGGGCAGAAAGAAAACTCCTCCTACAAGCTTTAACCAGTGTTCTGCTGAAGTCACAAGACTGTTCTAACTGCTGATGACAAAAGGTATTTAGCCATTTCTATTTACTAAAATAACTGCACTTCCATGTTCAGTGTACTGTGGGAGACCAGATATAGTGAATGCAGGGCCCTGGGTTTAGTAGCAATGTAAAGACTGTGTCTCTCAATGAAATCCAAGAAAAAGATTTTATTGCAAAAAGAAATATCCGATTATTCGTTCAGTCCCCTTGCTTATATCCCAGCTTTTAATGGCATACATTTTCTATAACTGGATATTAAAAGGTTAAGTGGGGTAAAGGCAGAAGTTTAGGTTTTTTTTTTTTTTTTTTTTTACCTTTATGCATTCTCTGCATGAAGGTAAAAAGCTCCTGCATGCAGCTCCCCATCAGCCATCCCCCTATACTTATCTGAGCCTTATGTTGATCCAGCGATAGTCACAGCCAGTGAGGAGGGGGCAGGATAAAGCAGTGCTCTCTGTGTCTTATAAACACACAGAGCCAGCTTCGGAGTGAGTTCACAGGTGCGCCACTATAGGAAGCAGCTTCCTATGGTGGCAAACAAAGATGAGGAGGAGCCAGGCGTGCCAGCCTGGGACCCAAGAAGAGAAGGATCGGGGCTGCTCTGTGCAAAGTCATTGCACAGAGCCGGTACGTATAATATTTGTTATTTTTAAAAAAATCAAGGTGTACAATCACTTTAATCCTCCTGAGACTAGTTTCTAGGTAGATTGGCACTGACAGGAATTGTATTCAGGTCTCTCATGGTGATTAACGTATGCTCTAGAGCTGAGAGCTTTGATATTCTAGATTAAGATAAACTATGCCTTACATTGCCGAACAAGCACAAAAAGATGGCATAAGTTGCAAAAAAAAAGTCCTTAATGAATCAACAAGGACTAAGAACCACCTTTTTGTAAACCTTTCATTTAAAATCATAAAAGCATTGGTTTTAAATATGTCCTTTTGTTTCAGGTTGCCCTTGGTGAATGTAACGAGCTTATAGCTGCTGATTATGATGCTCAGAAGAAATTGAAAGGAAAACACAGCACAAAAGGTGTTGGTCGTTGTATTCCAGACCCACAGAAATCTGTCACACAGTAAGCTTTTTAAACTATATGAACTTATTGATATTAGCAGTTTGAGGATATTAACCTTTTCTTCTCATTTCATCTTTCAGTGAAGGATCACTAGTTCCATTGGGGCCCCTGACAGACACAGAACTACAGAATAAGGATGGTTACACACTAAATTACAATGAGTACATTGTATATGACCCTTGTCAGGTCCAAATGAAGTATTTGCTGCAAGTGCATTTCAACTATGAGTCTTTATGGTAACAAAAGAGCTGTTTAAGAGAATCACCACTTGGGTTATATAGATGTTTAGATGTTTAAAGATGGCTAAAATAATGTAATGTGGCTTGAAGTAGATGGCATCATCATTGAGGGCCACACCTCTTGCAATACACTTAGATTAATCCAAATTAAAAAAAATAGTCCTTTGAACTAAAAAACAAACAATTGCTTTGTCTTGAAATTATTATCTGTGAGCAAGTGCTTAGCACGTTTTGTATTACTTTAATAAACTGACAATTGAAAATGTAATAGCATTTGTTCCTTCTTTATCATGCCTGCACCATGATTATTTACTTCACAGTGGAAAAATTAGCACATTTGTTAATGCTGCTAAACTGTCATGTGTGACAAAACTATTGAATCTCCCCACCAAGTACACCAAAATGTACATGAATGATCTGGGTTCCAATAAGGATTAAGAATGTGTGTTTGCTATTTTACTCAACAAGTGTCAGCTGATCACATGACAAGGTAAAAGGCCAATCACAGCGGTCTTTTACCACGTGTTCAGCTGTGTCCAATGACACAGCTGATCAAAAAGTAAATACAGTTGCCGGTTATCGGCAGCACTTTCCTCACGCTGTCACAGTCTTAGGGAAGTACTGCCGATAACCGGCAAGTGTCACAGAGGACATCTGCACTGATCAGTGCAGCCCCAAAAATGCCCATCAGTGCAGCCCAGCAGTGCCGCCTATCAGTGCAGCGTCATCAGTGCCTTCTCATCAATTCCCACCAGTGCTGCCCCATCAGTGCCAAACAAAAATAAGGATATAATACTCATGCACTGCCATAAATAAATGATAAGCTGCTGCAAGTACCTAAATGTGTTCCCACATCAATAAAATCTCCCCAAAAAGGGGTAGTTTTGGGGGTAGAGGCATATTATGCCCAGCATTAGAAGTTTATGCCACACATCATTCACTCTTTTAACCACCTGAAGACCAAGCCTTTTCTGACACTTTACTAATGGCACTAGGCAGGAACGGGTTAATGTGAGGGGCGATCAAAGGGTTAACTGTGTGCTGTGTGTGTTATAATAGGGGCAGGGCGTGTGTTCTTCACTGAGCACAGCCATCCCGAGCAGTATGCTCAAGCTGACAGGGTGGAAGATGGTAAACAAAACAACCTTCCTCCCCATCGGAGATGCTTGGTAATCAGCGAGCGCCTGTGGGTAATTACCAGCTGGGACCCGGTGATTGACATCCGCGGCCGCGAATGGTGGCGTTGGTAGGGTGCGTGCGCAGCTCGCGAGCACCCCTTGCCTGGAAATATGCAAAATTACACATATATATATATATATATATATATGTGTGTGTGTGATTTTGCGCACAGGTGCTGTCCTGCAGCAGTATATTTGCTATAGGGCGGTCCTTAAGCTGTTAAAGGTACAGGGAAGCACGTGACGCCCTGATATACAAAATGACAACAAAGGCATTCCAGTGAATTTCAAGTTGGCCAACTACACAAAAAATAGCAACCGTCCAAACCTATAACCAGCCTAAGCTGCAAGGTGCACATGGAAGGGCAATGCACATCGCAAAACAAACAAAGGATTTCCCAGCAACACTTACAAGCCAGCCTGCGAAGCAACCAATTTGGCCCTGTCTAACAGTATGGGTTAAAAACAGAGGGTTTTGTTTGTACACATTTGCAAATAGATGTGTAAGCCACAGTCCTAATATGCAAATGTGTGCAAATTATGGCTGGTAAGTTTTGCTGGGAAATCTTTTGTTTGTTTTGTGATTTACTTTGCTCCTCCATGTGCACCTTACTGCTAAGGCTGGTTCTAGGTTGGGATGGTTGCCATTTTTGTGTAGTGGGCTAATTTGGATGCAGGGATGTACTGGGTGCCTTTGCTGTCATTTTTGTATAGCTGGGCATCACGTGTGTCCCTGTACCTTTTTAGGAGGGATGGGCTCCTCCAGGCACACCTACTCTTAACCTATCTATTCCTGTGCTCCCACTATGGAGGCTTTGGAAATTTTAGTTAGGTCCACAGTATCCAGAGCTTGATGTGGGACTGTGGATCACGCCTGTATTTGCAAATGTGTGCAAACAAAACCCTCTGTTTTTAATGCAAACTGTTAGGGCCAAAATGGTTGTTTCACAGGCTGGCTGGTAAGTGTTGCTGGGAAATCCTTTGTTTTGCGATGTGCATTGCCCTTCCATGTGCACCTTACTGCTAAGTCTGTTTATAGGTTGGGACGGTTGCCATTTTTTTATGTCATTTTTGGTTCCATCTGTATTTAAATTAACATTGTGTGTACCAAATGCCTTTGCAAACACAGATATTGCCTAGTAAATAGTTTGCGGGTGGCATTATCATTGGGTTTCATATAGTGTGTGCAGATTGCTGAGCTGTGAATGGAACCCATCATATCTTTCCACTACCCTTCACATGTAGAGTACAGAAGTTGTTTGATGCTGTATTACTGCACAGATTTAGAGGAAATATAGGGACTCCAAGAAGTAAGAAACATATGCCTCTTGTATTTGAAAATATTTTTATTTAGCCCACATTTCAGCCTTAAATCCAATCCCAGACAATCCATATTTCTTTTTTGAACGGTGAAGGGTTTGGGCTTTTGTCAAGTTTTTATTACCATCCACACCCCTATTGAGGAGTTTTCCCCTCATATCCTGTCAGGACAATAAGTGATGGGACATTTCTTTGACAGGGACACAGAAAGAAACAAGTTTCTAGTAAAGTGGAGAAGGACTGGAGCTTCAGGCAATATTTGTATTGAGGTCTGTTACTTCCTGTCCTAGTAAAACACCCTCTTCTCAATTTCCTGAATGGATGTCACTGTTACAGGACTGAGGGAAAATCTCTCTAAAGGAGTCACAGCCAGAAATAAAAACTTTACAGAAACAACCTACTTCCCAATGTAGCCAAGCTACTAGCAATACATGCTTCAAAACTTGTGTCTTGCTTAGGTCTTTACTTGGGTGCACAGAAACTTCTGGTTATGAAGTTGATATGACGATGCTCTATCCAAGGATAGAGGATAGGCCCTCATGTGGCCTTCGAGAGATATTGCCTTTTCAGCCCTGCACTTGACACCGTAGTTGGCATAGCCTTAGTAGACCAGAGTGTACTCCTGCCTAAACAAAGGAGGTCAACGGAGAGGCTGAAGGAATCCCACCTTCTACTTCTGCAGTAGGAACCAGCAAGCCCTAAGAGTCTGACTCCCACATGGCCCATAGGGCTCAAAGCCAGAGGTAAGTTGTCCCCACTGTGAAGCCTTCTACAGGAAATTGCATTCCTACTCCCACATATGGAGGCCTGAGTGTGCATCCTGAGAGGTCCTTGGGTAACTTGCCTCTCTGGCATTTAGGTACAAAGAATGCCTCTGGCGCTATTTTCTCTGCACATGCTTCAGTTCCTCCCTAATGCTACTGTGCTTGTTATTTTTTTCTGGTCACTGGTTTAACCTATATAAATAGCTTAGTGGTTAGCATTACTGACCTGCAGCACTGGGTTCCTCAGTTTGAATCTCAGGACACTCTGCATTGAGTTTGCATGTTTTCCCTGTGTTCATATGGGTTTCTCCTGGGTACCTCCATTTCCACCCACACTCTACAGACATGCTGGGCAATTGGTTCCTGTCGGAATTGGCTGTAGTATGTGTAGCAACACCCCGAAGGGGCTGCTTAAGTTTGTTCTCTCTGCCTCTTAACCCCAAGAACTGTCTCAACCCCAAGTGACACACCTGGCAATAGTGTAAGTGCAAGGATTAATGAAAACCACACACTTGATAATAAAACACAGAGATCAGCTTTACTGTAAGGCCTCTATGGGAAGTAATAAACATTAACAACAGGTATATGTTAGGTCGGGTGTCGGCAACCCGCGGCTCCGGAGCCGCATGCGGCTCTTTTTCACCTTTCCTGCGGCTCCGGAGCACACTGCCCACCAGGTGACAGGCAATAGGGTCGGCAAGCCGCGGCTCTTTTAATGTAGATCTTCTGTGTGCCGGGCGCCCGCTGGCAAACATTGGCTGTCAGGATGTAGGCGGGGCAGCCCGGATGTAGGCGGGGCAGCGTGACGAACTCCTCTCCTCTCACAGTCTGCCCTGAAGACCAGAACGGCGCGGGAACCCAGCGAGAGGAACGTGCGGAGCAAAGGTAAGTGAATTCACACAATATGGGGGATGAATTACTATAGGGGGGATGAATTACTATAGGGGGGATGAATTACTATAGGGGGGATGAATTACTATAGGGGGGATGAATTACTATAGGGGGGATGAATTACTATGGGGGATGAATTACTATATGGGGGATGAATTACTATGGGGGATGAATTACTATAGGGGGGATGAATTACTATAGGGGGGATGAATTACTATAGGGGGGATGAATTACTATAGGGGGGATGAATTACTATAGGGGGGATGAATTACTATGGGGGATGAATTACTATAGGGTGGATGAATTACTATAGGGGGGATGAATTACTATGGGGTATGAATTACTATATGGGGGATGAATTACTATATGGGGGATGAATTACTATATGGGGGGAATTACTATGGGGGATGAATTACTATATGGGGGATGTATTTTCAGTTTTAAAAATGTTTCTCTCAAAATAAATTTCAATCGTGGTTTTGGCGAGATTTGGCTCAGTCGAAAAAAAAGGTTGCCCACCACTGACCTAAGGCTATGATTGTGATTATGATGATACACTGTGGCCCTGATTAACCCTTTGCTTACTGGGCCCTTAAACCCCCTTCATGACCAGAGCGTTTTTTGCAATATATGCAGTGTCGGATTTGTTTTAAATGTTGCAATGGTTTTGCGGCTCCCAGTCTTTTTTTCCCTCTCGGAAATGGGTCCAAGTGGCTCTTTATGTCTTAAAGGTTGCAGACCCCTGTGTTAGGTGAATCAAGAGAACAGCAAATACCGAGACCAAAAGCAATATAGCTCCCTTTTACCCTCAGGCTGCTTTCAGGGGATTCCAACCATAAATAACCCCA